AATGATGAACTAGACATTGATGAAGATGATGTTTGGATGGCAGTTATTCAATGGGCAACTAAACAAGTGCCAGAACTGCTGACTCCAAAGTTGGTTGATTAAGTAAAACCTCAGCTACGGTTACAGCTACTCGTTGTTCCTTAGCGTTATTGGAAAGACTTTTTAATAATTTACAGCACTATTAATACTAATGCCGAATGGCTTGTTTTTTTCTTTTTTTGGACTTTACTTCTATGAAAAGAAAACTTATTAGTGTTAATCGTTTAATTGAAGAGTTGTTATTGCCTTGGTTGTAAACAGCGACCGCTAAGGCGAAGGCTCTGTTCTAAGTAAACGTGCGACGTGAAAGCTCCCTTCGTTATACTTTCTTAGATAAGTATTTTAACTTTAATTTGGATATCTCCCAAGCTATACCGCGGTTACTCCTAAACCAATGGCTCAATTTAGTTTTTTATTGTCCTGCAGATTTTTGCTTTCTTGGTCTTGTTTTCCTCCCCCTTTCAATTTCTCCTTTTCTTTGTCTTTATCCTCAATCAACTTTTTGTTGTTTTCTATTTCTGTCCTTTTTCTTTGTTTGTCACTCTCACTTAATTGATTTTGGCTATTTACTAATTCCTGTTCGAGTTCTTGGTTCCGAGTTTTTAATTCTTTTTTTTCTCTTTCAAGTTGATTTATCTTTTCTTGGGTTGATTTAGAAGGATTATTGCGGTCTCTATTATCGTTGCCTGTGAGCCTGACTTATTTTTTCCCGGGTCTCTGCAAAGAAAAAGAAAAAGAAAAAGAAAAAAAGATCAACTTTCATCCCACCATGAACATTTATTGTTCCAGTTAATAAACGTACCTTCCCTCAGGATGTCTCGAAACGACAAGCGACCTCCAGCTCAATCGAACAGGACCGCAAAAGTGGCCGGTACAGGAGGCAGTCAAAAGATGTCAAAGAGCGTGAAAGCAGGTTGGTATTATTCTTATTCATGTAACGTCCGTTTATTTCGCTCGATAATTTTCCGGTAACATTTTTTCTTTTTTGCTGTCTCCTGTATTGTATACGGCAGCCCTCAGTTTCGCCGATGACCCTTGCCCTTTTTATGGATTGAACACTCAAGGGCAAAGTTAGACTTGAGGATATTGACAGTTCGGTCGAGGATTTGTGTGATGATCAAGGGAAATTAATTTTGAAAAAAAATGCTGTTTTAACAGAAAATGGGCTCCAGCAAACCCCATAATGTTTTGCTTCGGGTCTCCCACAAAAGTAAAATTAGTGTGGCTACTTCCAAAGAGAATGTAGGGACAATTTGGTGACTTGATAAATAAATTATGATTGATCATTGAAACAAGCTTTTTTGCGTATCGCTGACACGCGTCTTACATTCCCCAAATATTTTCTGTCGCAATTTCCATTTTACCTTACTATTTTTCAGCAGTTAAGCGATTAAATGACTTTTTAAGCCAACCAGAAAGAAACGATATTCAAAAAAATATTCTTGGGAAGTAATTTTAGAAGGAAACTGTATTCTAAAATTACATGATAGCGCTGCTTTATTTTATCAAGCCGGATTACGCGATCTTTGCGGTTTTTTTTGGTTTATTTAGTTTTTTTTTTTTTTTATTTAGTTTTTTTGTTTTTTAATCGACATTAGGCAATGTCCTGATCAATAAAAATAACAATTTTGAAGAAGTTTTTGGAGAAAGTTCACAATCTGTCTCCGGAGTCTCAGATGTGATAAAAGGAAGTGTTTTCTTTGGTTTTTAAATTAGTTACTAGTTGCTGAGATATTTACATGAGCTTGATGCTATTTAAAGAATCAGTAGTGAATAATAGAAAGAGGAATAAGCACATTTGAGGAAGAAATCGTCATTGGTATTTCCACCTCTTAGTGACAATTATTTTCTTTTTTTTCTTTCTTTTTTTTGCTTAACTCAAAGAGGTACTTGAAAAACACCGCACAGCCACAGCAGCCAATTTGGCTTTGCCGCCGGTCTTCGGTCGTTTTTGCTGTGTCCCGGTGGCGCGCGTGTCGCTGACAATAATCGACAACAACAGCTGGGGCCTGTTAATCTAGGCTTAGTCGAAGCAAGTTGCTTATCAGTTTGAAATTATAAAATAGAAAATTTGGAATTTAGTTGAGAAAAGAAAGAAAAATAAAAAAAAAAAAACACAAACGAATAAACCAAAAAAACAAAAAACAAACTTTTATAATAAAAAACCAAAAAAAACAAGTTTTCAACCCAACAACTCATGAGGAAAAAACAGTAGAGGGAAATGTTATTGGTAAAGACATTGAAAGTTTAGGTATCGGTTCTTTAAATTTTCGCGTTAAACTCGTTTTGAATGTCGCTACTAATTACTAAGCACAGGCGAAAAGTTTTTGGAGTTTCTTTGGTTTTTTTGAACTTCACTAGCCAGGATTTTGCAAAGGTTCCAAACTACCGTAAAAACGATTATGAATTCCTTTTTCGCGGCTCGAAAGGTTAACAAAATACTACCCGGAGAGGGAAAGTATAAATATTTACCTAGCTATCAATATTACCAAAAATCCTCCTATTTTTTTTTTTTATATAAATAAAAAAAAAAAATAAAAAAAAAAAAACAAAACCTGAACTTGAAAATGATATAAATACTTGGTCATCTAATGATATCAACACAGTTAGAGAGACCATAGCAGATTGCGTTCCTTATATAAGATTTTTCAGTATTTCCTCTAAAACCATCATGTCATATGAGGATTTATTACCCAAAAATCTGTGTCATGATGTTCTGATGTGCCGTTTAGGTGAAGATTACACATCAACGACTCACATTTTACCACCAAGAACAGGACAATGTCCTGATATTGATTCTGTTATCATTACTAAAAAGCAAGCAAAATGGATTTCATCAAAAATTGTGGAATCAAAAAGGCTGTTCCAAGAAAATCAAAAGACATTTATGAAACATGATGCTTATAAATTTACTCTACTTTATAGACGAAATAGAGATGGTGATTTAAATGCAAAATTTAGAGAAATATGTAATAACAAAGGACCCACAATTTCTGTTGGGAAAGTGTCAGGCACTGAAGAAATACTTGGTGGATATAATCCATGTGCATGGGGTGCCCACAATGGTTGGTCTTACACTAGAGAAAGCTTTATATTTTCATTAAGCAAATTAAAATGCAGTGATGAGAACATAGTAAGTTTTTTTGCTGATACAGATAAACGGGCTGTTTATGATTGTGCTACTCATTTTTCTCATTTTGGGTATGGTGGTGATTTATCTTTTGGTAATAGTACTATTAGTCTTAAAGGAAAAGGTTGGGCTGGGAAAAATTCATATCAAATTCCAGTTAGACATTTACAAGGTAAAGACACATTTGATTGGGTTGATTGGGAAGTGTTTCTAATTTCAAGAGTTTGATTACTTTGAATTATTCATAATTCATCATTTTAGAACATATGTTATACCTGACCTTCGGTAATATATTATTTGTCTTCATCCGTATGATGAAACAGCGATCGATGTTATTGTTAAATATATATTAACGAAATTAATAGGCCATTAAGAGTAGCGATTAAATTAGAACTGTTGTAATTCTTATTTAATAGTTATATATTTATAAATATTACGAATAGTATAGAAAGTCCGAGGAGATTACATCCTTTGCCTCAGATATATTTGAGATGTGAACCCATTGTAAGTCTGCAACAAGTGTACTACGAAACACGGATCATAAGAGTCAACATAATCATTCGTCTAGCAACAGTAGAACCATTCGTCTAGCAATAGTGAAATCATTCGTCTAGAAAGAGGATTATTCTCTAAGATGGATAATTAAGAAGTTATGAGAGATATTAGAGAATAGAGATCAGAATAAAGTAATAAAGTTGGCTAAGTTGGTGGCCTCATCACTAAGCATCGACATTACAGAGCCCTATTGTCACAGTGAGGGGACGCAGCCGCCTCGCGAAGAAAACCGGTGACACATGGGGCTTGGATTTTCAAACAGTTCCAGAATGACCACTTTCCAATGCATCACCAAGAAAAACTGACAACAATTTAAATTATAGTTATCCATAGTCTGGAGTTGAATTCCATTTTTTGCTGTCATACTGTGAGTGGACATCATAAATGGTATCAGCAGTGACACACCTAGACCAGCAACAACCTTCAACACATTTCATATACACCCCTTTCTGTAATAGTTCTAGCTCTTCCACAAATGGTTTGATGAAATCTGCAAAATTCCCCCAAATGGTACAAAGCCAATTGGAAAATGGTTCTTTATAACTCCCTGATTTGGCAGTGAAACGTTGGTTGAATGTACTCAACAGGATGATGATATCTCTTCTCAATAGGGCAAATTTGATAATGGTTTCTCCATTGTATATAATCTCTGTACATTATGATCATATTGTTTTGAGCATTCTGTATCTTCAAGCCAAACACTGAGATGTCCACTGAGACATGATGGCTCATAGGAGTATTTGATTTTCAGGCAGCCACAATTCTCCACATTGACCTCATTCAATTCTGTCACTTGAGCAAAACCTGCCTGGCAATTATTGTGGGCTAACAGCAATGATACTTCTAAACACCATTCACTTTTCTCTTTACTATTGCTAGTATGCACCCTTTCCTTTCTCCATTGTGTTCACATATTCAAAAAATATGATCCATTTGCTTGATTTTGAAATTTATGATGGTTACCTGGGTGCAATTAAAGAACTTATTGACCCAGACAATGTGATGAATTGCTGCAGTGAGTATCAGATTTATTTGTTACAATTTTTTCTTATTAATTAAGATATATTTTGCAAGTTTGTCCTATACTACAAGTCACCTAGCAGCAATTCTGAGAACTTTGATAACTGAGGAGATTGTCAGAATTTGCTTTGTTATGTTGCAAGAGATTTTAATGTACAAGTTTCCTGAAATTTGGGTTTGGATTTTCCTGAGAAAATAAAAACATCCTAACTCGAGGCTTTCAAAAGGTGAGGAAGTTGTCTTGATAATTTTTTATAATTGCAACATTCTAACAGCCTTACAAACAGGGTCAGATCACTGTAAGGGATAAATTTGTATATATGATTTGGAAAACACTTGGCCAAGTCTTTGATACAGTTATTTATGCCCTCTTCAATTCTGGTACCAATTGTACTTAAGGTAAGCTGTCAAATGGGTTGGCAGTTTTTATTGTAACTTGAATTTAACACGTCAGATTTGTCGCTTACTTGCTTCTGAGCACATGCATAATCATTCGTTGTCACTGGCAGTTGTGTGGTATGATTAAATCACTATTGCAATTATTGCCATCTGGTCAATCATTTTAATTACATTATTATGCATAGGGGCGCCTATAGATACAAACTTTCCGCAGCTGATGCCTCAAAGTTTGCATTCAATAAGACAGAAACAACGGGAGGAGTGGAAACGCTTGTATGATTTTGATAATTATCCAGGCGGAATCCGCCCTATCCAGTTACGTCCACTGAAGTACATTATTATATCAATGAAGGTCTACTTCGATATATGATGAACAATGAAATCCTTTTTGGATTTCCAAACCAATGTAATAATTTGTTTAAATATTCAATCCAACTAACAAAATTTGTATTTGTTTTAGACGTTGTAAATAGAGCAATGCGGGATAAAGACCGGTATAATACAACACATCTATTGGCATTCTTCTTTCCACAAGTTCTCGGTTTGCGAAATATCTACTTATTACGATAAAAGAAATAGCCATTGGGACTAACATGTCTCTGCAGCCTTTGACCGCTAATTTGCCCAGTAATGTTCGTTCGAGGTTAGCTTGGTTTAAAGAATTAGAACCATTAATTGGGCAATTACTGAAAAATCGCGTTCTGGATACGTTATGTCCTAAGAAGGTAAGTCTTACTTTTTTGCATTATTTTATAAAAAAACGATTGACATGTCTTTCTTAGAACTGCATGAGTTACGAAACCCCTCACAAAGAGGTATATCATTCGATGCTTTCTTCGAGTTGATGTCTAATTGTTAACGAGCTTATTCATAGGTTACAAATTTTCTCACAATGGTTCTCCGCGAAGTTATGCCATTCGAAATTTGGCCACAAAAAAAACTTCGAAGATGTAAGCGTAATATCCGTTTTGCTAAAGTTAATGAGTATTGGTGTTATCTCTACGGTTAAGGCAATTTTACATTTAGATATTCGACTATTGGTCCGCCAACCGCTGAGTGAAAAATTCTCTTTACACGACGTAATGACATCATTTAAGGTATGGTATGGCTTGCTTATAATCGTAATGTTCTTTATAGCGGATATGGTTTTGGAGAGCTTTCTATATACGAAATTATTGACAAATAATTGTGATTTCAGAAGTGCCGCTGGATCGACGCTGTCTATTCGAGATCAGGAAGTGAGTAAAACGGCATCAACATTAGTATATGATTTGTATTATTCTAATTAGCGATTTTTGGAAGGTAAAAAACAGTCTTGGACGAGAATTGATCTGTTGGATATTTGGCTCGTTCGTTTATCAAATCATTCGTGTAAGTAAATATTTGGTTGTTTGTGTTGGAATTAGATGTTTAACTTTGCCATTACAGACAAATTTTTACGTGATACCAGATCCTCGTCAACAGACAGCGCTTTTCTTCTGGCATGATACTTGGTCTACGTTAGAAAACGGATGGATAGACCGTCAGTCTAGTTCTCAGTTTACGGAGATTGTGAGTAAATATTAATTAAATAATTTAGACCTACCGTTCTGCTTTTGTAATTCAGCTTGAATTATATTTTTAATTATTATCTTGACTAGCGAAATAAACGTTCACAATGCAGAGGCAGATTGATCCCCAAAACTGGCGGCTTTCGCTTAATATCAAACTACGAAGAACCAACCTTATACGCCTCCCTTTTAAATGTCAAACATATTCTCGGATCATTTAACGTAATTATACATAATCACTGTCATTTGAACCCAGTCTTTGCTAGAATTGTGTTCTAATGTATCTTCTCTCGATATTAGTCACAACGAATAAACAAGAGCTCACTCATCGACAATATAAACAACTTCATAAGTTGTGTGGGAAAAAAGTAAGCACAATGCTCACATTTTTTTTTTTTTACATGATATTGATACAATTGAAAATTTATCAGTGAAGAAGCGTTCTATATCGTCAAGACAGACATTAAAGCATGCTTCGATTCCATCAATCATGATGCTCTTATGGAATTAATATCAGATAAACTCAAAGAGGTAATTCATGTTAACTCTTCTTTTTTTTTAAGTCAACTACAATTCTGATTGAGAAATTCTAGGAGTTTGTAACTCTGTTTAAATTTAATTTCTTGTCCAAGCATCGCGACCGCGTTTATAACAGCTTTGACAAGAAAGTAAGCTACGCAGCTTTCCCGTCCCCTTCGGATTTTATAAATCGCGAGTCAAATAAATAGTTGATATGAAAGCAGAATACGAATGTGAGCGGCGAGAAGATATCTTAGAAACTCTTAGGAACCACTTGGTCGAGAACATTGACGTAAGTCGTTTTCCTTAATCCATTTTCTGTGTTTAGGAAACGTTTAAAGTTTTGAATTTGGTATCTTATAGATTGGCGGTCGGCAACTGAGAGCTCCTACTGCAAGTAATGACAATATGCAATCTCCTGTCCTTTCAACATCACCTGCATCGCCTGCTTTGTCTCCATCAGCACCCACAATCACATCATCACCGACTTTCCAACCTCTGCCAGAATTATCTCCCCAACCATCCATTATACCTTTGACATATGCAGCAATATCTGTGAACATGAGCGATACGCGTTTGGCAATCTGTAGGTTGTTAAGTATAGATAATCAACAGATGCATATCACCATCCGCAACCGCAGTTGTATAATCGATGATTTATTAAATTGGACTGGTAGTGTAAGAATTGAGGATATGTTGTCGACACCGGTCATTTCACTACAGAATGAACATGCTCTGGACATTGGAGGGGTATTGCGTGACATTGTTGAAAGCTTTTGGGAGCAGATTAAGGAGAGGAAATTTCCAATTATTGGCTTACTTTTTACAAACAGTACACTTACCCATAAGATGCGTGCAGCATTGGCACAAGAGACCGTATTAGTGGGTAGACTATTATGGTGGTCCCATCATTCACGATATTGCTTATCCAAATGGCTTGCTGCATATGTTTTAGACTGGCTTTTTGGGATTTTATGGAGGCGTTAGAGTGTATTTCCGAACCCCTATGGACAGTCTGTAGCGAATTAGACAGGCTCAGCTTGCAGGAATGGGAGACATGAATTTTCAGCGGCGTTGCTGGCCTTTGCGGAACAGAACGATATAACTGCACGGAGAAGACTCGCCACAAGAAATAGCCAATTTTATTAGGTTGTCGGCAGTTATATTACCTCGGAGATGCACATTAGAGAAATTTAAGGAGGGTTTTGATGTTGACTTTGGGCATGGCGCTAGAGAGATCCAGGTAACTAATTATTGTTGTTTACAAACCAAACGTAATTCAACTGCTAAACCTTAAGTATTTTTGTAGGTATTGCGAGAGCCAGGGTATGTGCACTTGCGTGGCTACCTTTATCAAGAGCTCGAAAACAATGTCCGGCTCATTGCGCAGTTTGACTGGACAGCTCGGGCTATAGAAAATGAAACGATCCCTCTGTGGTTCCACGAATATCTTACCAATGTGCAGACAAACAATTGCGAAAGAAAATAATAAGATTCTGCACTGTTGAGCGCAAGATTACAGTACGTATTATATTATATCATCGATAATTATTAATATTAGATGCATGCTTATTGTCAACTTTTTTATTCAGATAAAGATTGTCGCAGCCGACACAAATCTCAGCTCAGCATACAGTCGGTTGCCAAGAGCATCATCGTGTTTAAAAGAGATTTGGCTTTGCCATGAATACGATGCCGGTGAAAAGCAACAATTTTTGCCGATCTAAACTGCGCATTTAGAGAATGTAGCGACGGTTTTTATGAACAGGCTGTAGAACTAGCTGAATAATGTAAATAATGTAATGTACTGGATTTTTAATAAAATATTGATTAGTAGACTCCAAGAATTGACTAAAAAAAATCATTAGAACAACATTAGACAAATAGAACTTATTGCCAGCCATCACGTAAACGCGTTGGATAATAACGATAATGAAATGATTGTAATGTGTGATAATATATTTCATAAATTGTAACTTTCCCGAACCATTCCTTAATTTTTTAAATCAGAATAGCGGGCAAGTGTTTTTATTTTTTTCAAAAAAATCAAGCCTCCTTGGTCTTTCAACCGTAAGATATCTGTATTTGGGCATTTAAAAATAATGTCAAGATCGAAACATTTTTATCGCATTATAATTAGAGGTATGAAGTTTTTAGTCTTCCTTTAACATGTCAAATTGTAATATTGTATTCGTCAGACAAATATTCTGTGCAATGTACGTCATATTAAAAAAAAACAGTACACTTGTACAAATTATCTCGATACGTTAGATAAAAGGTCCACGTTTATAGTTTAACTGTAGTGCTAAAATTATATCAATTATTTCGATGCAACTCGAGATTAAATAATTTACAGTCTCATTATAATGCTAAAATTACACCAATTATTTCGATGTCAATCACTGTGCGGTTATAGTTAATGCTTACAGTCTAACCGTAATGCTAAAACTCATGCCCAATTATTTCGATGGCAAATCGCTGTACGGTTAGATCAAAATATAATCTATAATTACAGTCTAACCGCAATGCTAAGATTGTACCAATTGTTTCGACGTCAAATTACTGTGCGGTTTAGATCAATAATAGTTTGTATTTACTGTTTACCAAATGCAAACATCAAAGATAACATTCTAGCCATAATGTCAAAAATTTGTACCAATGATTTACCGTACGATTAGGCCAACTCATTAGACTACATTTACCATCTAACAGTAAACTGCTACAATTACTGTCGATTTTAAGCAAATAATCGTATGATTAAATCTACTTAACAGACAAGATCGTGTTCGATAAGCATAAATTGTGTGGGCAAGTTCAACATCCAATAATTCAAGCACAGTATTTCGTGCGAACATTATAGACCGTATTATATATCATTTATTATTCCAACTGACGTGCTTGTGAGAAAAGTTCCATCGAATGTCTGGTGAGTATGGGGCGTAATTTTTGTTCCCTAATTTAGGAATAGACAGCAAAAGGATCGACAAATATTTTTATGGTAAATTGTGTTAACTGGTGGGTGTGTGGATGGTGCGAATAGAAATTATCTGAATATCTTACCAATGTGCGGAGAAAACAATTGCAAAGGAAATAAAAAGTTCTTGCACCGATAGTTACCGAGTACCTGTTGAACGCAAAATCACAGTACGTATTATATTGTATCATCAATAATGTTAATATTTTTTGACGCATGCTTATTGTCAACTTTTTTTATTTAGATTAAAGTCATCGCAGCTGACACAAA